CAGTTGTGACCTACGGGGGCTCACCTCCCTCCAGCTGGAGAGCGTGGCACCTGGTGCCTTGGGAGGGCTGAGGGGGCGAGGGGTCACACCTCCATGCACGGTTTTGCTCTGCTGCGTGGGATGGGTTGCGAGCGGAGCAGGCCGCGGGAGGAGGGGACGCCCTGGCTGTGGTGAGCGCATGCAACGTAAGTTCTAATTACTGCTTGTGACCTACGGGGGCTCACCTCCCTCCAGCTGGAGAGCGTGGCACCTGGTGCCTTGGGAGGGCTGAGGGGGCGAGGGGTCACACCTCCATGCACGGTTTTGCTCTGCTGCGTGGGATGGGTTGCGAGCGGAGCAGGCCGCGGGAGGAGGGGACGCCCTGGCTGTGGTGAGCGCATGCAACGTAAGTTCTAATTACTGCCTCGCAAGTCAAATATTTGTTGCGAGCGGAGGATTAATGGGTGCGGGAGGGAGCGGAAGTGGAGGCTCTCGGAGTGTAAGTGGAACAGATGCCCGGACGCCTTGGGGAAACGCAGCTTTCCTCTACAAATCAGAGCTTTAAATTACCAGCCTTTTACCAACGAGAACAGTTGTGGGAAGTCGTCTGCTCTCATTTGCGTAATGGCTTCTGTCACTGGTGATTAGACACAGGATGAAGGAAAAGGAATTTGACAATTAGGAATGAGCGATCATTAATCAGAATCTTTGTTAGGCGAATGCGAGGAGGGAGGAGAATAGCCCACAGACAATGGAAGCTGCCGTGGTGGCTCCCTCAGTGCTAGGTGCGCCGCAGCACGGCAGTGCCCGTGTTGCCCCACAGCGCCTCCCCTGCCCAGGTCGGGTATCGCACGGTGGGGCGGGGCAGGGGAGCGGAGGCCTGTGTCTGCCTGGCCACCTAGCTCGGAATCGCAGCCTGGGGTGTGCTCCGGGAGGCGACCCCATCGCGGATGTGTCTCCCTGCCCCCCTCGGGCACTGGGGGTAAGTTCTCAGTGCCCTGCGGCGAGCCTCCGGCAATAGGTGTGTGGCCAGCTTTGGGTGTTCTCGGCTCAGTGCCTCACCAGGCGGAAAGGGGCCAGGCCGGTGAGTGAGGTTGGACGGGCAGAGGGCGTGTCAGGCGCCCTTCCTGGCGGTGTGGCGTCAGGTGGTGTAGGGAGGCGCTTGCCGGCTGCGTGACAGGCAAGGAAGGAAGTGGCAGCTACTCAGCCTGTAGCCCGGCGATGGGCGACCTAGGCTAGCGAGTGGCCCCCTTCCCTCTGGCCACAAGGCTGCTGTAGCCCAGGGAGGCTCCCGATGTGGGCGGGCTAGATCCCACAGGCTGTGCCCAGGGAACCACCGCAGCGTGGGACTGGCTGCCCAAGGAGCGCCCAACTCTGTCAGCCCCTCCTCGCTGCGCGGGTACAGCATTCCGTGAACCGACGTGGACGGCGACCAGCAGAATCTGGCTACCCTGTGGGTGGCAGTGACAAACCATGTCTCACCGGCCACGCACAGGGCCCCGATGGGCTGCAGGTTCCCCCTGCTGCTGTAGCTTCTCATGCACTAGCGCAGGCCTCATCTGCTCACAGGGCAGCAGCGACTAATGGGACCAGCGCTCACTAAATTGCCCAGTTGTTGGCATCTTCTGCAGCCACCTCCTCTGCCAGCCTGCCTCTTCCGTGGCTACGTCAGGTCTCTGCAGGCTCCCTCAGGTCTCTCTGGACTCAGCCCTTGGCCGCGCTCAGGACGGGGAGGGGCCGTGGCATTTGGGTCTAGCTAATAGGTGCGTATTTGTGAAAGTACCTTATCCCCGTTTGTACATGGGGCTGCTCTTCTGCCTGTGTGCAAGCGTGCTCTCTCTCTGCAGCTTCCTCTGCACGGACAAGTCCAGGCACGGCTGGGCTGTGGCCAGCTACAAGCACTGCCTGAAATTCTGGAGGTGAAAAACAAAGGCTCTCCAAGCTCCTGTGTCAGCACGGCCCAGGGAGGCGTCCTCTCCAGCCCCACAGGAGTACACAACAGGTTTTAGCCTCCAGCGCAGCCAGGGCCCAGGAGCCTTGCCTTCCCTGTGGGTGGGGGGTGAGCAGGTACAGCAGGGAGCCCAGAAACTGACACAACAGCCCGTGTAAATAAGTGTGTCTGTGTAGACACGCGACCCCTTTCCGGCGCCCAGGAGAGGCATGGGGCTTGTCAGTGTTGTCATGTGGGTGTAGTATGGCACTTGGATGGGTGGGACAAGGCCATAGTGTAGACACGGACACAATTAGGCAACACAACTGTCTACTGTAGTGTAGCTCACGCCCATGTCCCTGCCCCTCCCACACTGGGGGGTGGAGCCCCTGGGGGCTACTGGGCTAGAAATCCTGCCCTGACTCTGAACCCAATTCCCCCGGCATCGTCCAAAGGGGGTGGCTGTGCAGTCCCTTGGCCTGGGCGCCTCTGGCTTTCAGCAGAACGTGGCAATGGCCCCCCTGGGCCGGACCAAAGATTCCTCTAGCCCAGCAGTGGCCGGTGCCAGGGGCCCCCAGGGAATGAACAGAGCCGGGGACCATTGAGCGATCCGTTCCTGTTGTCCCGGCATCTGGCAATCGGGGCATGGGGCTGCTACTGGCCCCGCTGATCTGTCCTCCGGGCACTTCTCTGCAGGAGTCAGGTGTAGCCTGGGCCACCCCAGCAGCCTTTGGGCGAAGCAAAACGCCACCTGGCCTGTCTTCCTGCACTGAGGTCGGCAGCGCTCTAAGGAGCCTTTGTCCTTCCCTTCTGCCTCTTGGCTGTGGGATGCCTACCACTTAGCTGGCCCGTGTAGCGGCGTGTCGGG